CAAATGATGTTGTTCTTGAACATAAATGAACCAAACACATTAGTGTTCAAGCTTGTTTATTTAAGAATAGAATATTAAAAATGTTGTTCAAATTTATTTGTTTAATTAGTTAAACGATCACAAACGAGCTTTAATCAAACCGAATAATGAGTAGCTCATCAAACATTTGGTTCATTTGCAGCCCTAGTGTTCTTCTCATTATTATGAATCAGCAGCATCTGCAATAGACATTTCATACATTTTATTACCATACTATCTATATGCCTTGTGCTTAAACCAACAACATTTGATAGTTTTATACATAATGGAGGATTCTATTATAGCTTAAAGCTATCTTTTTAAGCTTGTTTGCAATAACCATACATGTTGCATGATTATCTCCTAATAGAGACTGAAAGGAAGGACAAAAAAAAAAAAAAGGAAAAAAAAAAAAAAAAAAACATTAGTAATGTGTTTTATGATGTGTGGCACCTAAGCTTCTGTATCTGCATGATTTGTGTTGTATTTTTGCCTACTATTTATTATGAACCCATGAAGTTTTATAGTGTCATTTTCACCTGCTCAATTAGGAGCCTCTTCATTCCAGAATTCATGCTCTTATGGTTGAGATCCAAATATTTTAAAACTTACCCTTGTATGCATCATGTCTCTAATTTTCTTGAAACAAATAGTAATATCAGCAAGTCTGTAATCTTAGGCTTCGTTTGGAACAGTTTTCTTACTGTTTCTTAAAACAACTTTCTAGTACAAAAATTAAATTTTTGTACTAAAAACTGCTTTAAGAAGCCGTAAGAAAGCCATCAAAAACACCACCTTTATCTTAAGAAACCCAAATTTGTCCACCAAATTATGTAATGATCAATTTTCCTTTCTACTAGATGAACTAAGGAATAAACTACTCAAAAATGGACCAACCATATATCATCTAAAACTAGGTGGTCATAAGCACAGGATTCAATTAGTTTTACAAGCTTTCTTTAAAATTCAGCTAACAAGACCTAAGGCACAGTAAGGAACCTCTTTGGAGCCACTACTAATTTTAAAAAAAAATGGGAATCTTAAAGAGATCACTTGTATGGCTACAAAGTTGCTTCTTTGTGATAAGGAATAAGGACCGACCTTTGGTACCAATTCCAATGTTCCATGCGTGTGGACTACTGGATTACCATTCCTTTAGCTTTCTTTCTCTACCTACAAAGGAATAAGAGCTGTTGGTTGTGCAATCACCTTCTTCCATTCAAGTATGTGCCAAATAAAATTATAAATGTAAATGAGCAACGTGTAGATATGATACTGTTCTAAACAATTAAGAGAATTAACAGAGATTATGATAAGGAGGAGAATAGTGACAATCTGGATTACTTTTTACAAGAAGAATAATGAAAAGAATTCTCATGTATGTCTCAAATAAAAAGATAAATGAAAATGAAGTGTCTGCATCTATTATATTGTTTTAAACAAGCGGTAGAGTTAACAGAGATTATCACGAGGGAAGAAAAGTGATAGGAAACAGTTGTAGATCTCAAATATTTCCTATCAATCTTCAGAAAACAACAAGAATTCTTCACAAAAATCTGCACAAAATCACGAAAACCGTAGAAAATTTGTATTATTTGATGAAAGGGAAATGGAAAATAGCAAGATACAATTGATCCTCTATTCGAGAGGAAGATCGATCTCTCCCAAATCTCTAGATGCCGCTAGAGCCCAAAGAAAATCTAAATCTAGATCTCAATTTTCAGCTAAATTCAAGATGCCCCAACCCTAGGAAAACAAACTATTTAATGCATAAAATTCAAAAGGAAATCTCTAAACAATCCCTACATTCAATTTTGCTCCTAAACTTCCTCAAAAAACCTTCCAAACATGCTCCGTTAGCTCCTACGGTGGGATCAAAGGAATTAGAGGCGGAAGATTTCCGCCTCTTTGTCACATGGGCCGGTCCCGCATGACCAGCTGGACCGGTCTAACAAAAAGTGAAGCCCAAGACCACATTTTACATTGGAAAAATTATAAAAACTAAAATTCTAAGAGTTTTCACATGTCCCAAATAAAAGATAAACCCAAATGACTAGAGTATATTTATGATATTGTTTTAATCAAACAGAAGAATTAACAGAAATTATGACAAGGGAGGTAAGAAATGAAGTTCAGGACCAAATTTACATAGAGAAAAAAAAATTTAAAGAGTAAAAGAAAGAGTATCGGATGCTTCACTTCATGACTCAGTAGGGCGAGATATTTTTGTCAAATGATAGCAATGGGCACCAATGAGAAAGCCAATTCTGCAGTCAATAACATAACGACAGCTAGAAAAGAAAAAAAAAGTTGGCATATTCCCTGTTAAGTCTATTCCTATCAAATTATATTGGGTTCAGTTATTATTTTGGACGGAGTTCATTGGCTCAAAGAAACAATGCGTAAGTATCACAGTGATACTGATTATTTTCAAGATCTATTTCATACAATAAAATGAAACAGAAAACACACGAGGGAAGACAAAAACTGAAGGTTTAATGAAATTTGAAATATTTTACATAAACGTTCGTCTTTAGAGAATCTATTCTAAAACAAGGAGATAAAAGTTCTCAATATTCAATTTTCTGCTCAAACGTTCTTAGTGGAAAGGTGGTATATAAGTTAATAATATCATGTTAGGTGCTACTGTACCTTAGCACATCAACTAACGTTGAGAAATGTATGGATAGTCCAATAGGGCAGAACGATGATAAAATTTGCTCTCCTACACAAGTCTAGATATTCAGGAAACAAGAACCTATCAATCCATTCCGTGGCTTCCTGAATGCCTTGACCATCTAATAGGAAGCAGTATGATTTTCAAAAGTTAAAAAATGACCCTCATCATCATAACATCCTGTCATAAGATGATGTAAAAAATACAACAATCTTTATCCATGCACAGCAAAGATCCAATAACAGGAACAATCAATGCATCAATGACACTAGCATGGGCGGATCCCCATATACTCAGGGTGGGCATGCAAATGCCCACCCTAAAAAAAAAAAAGGAATAATTTTAGTATTTTGGGTATTTCCACTCCCCCCTCAAAAATCATTTTTGCCCTAATTTTATTAGTCCTAAGCATCTTTGCCCATTCCCACAAAAAAAAAAATTTTTTTTGCCCACCTTGAAAAAAGAAGCTGGATCCGGCCATGATGACTAGAAATTATTATAAAAAGGGCACAGACACCAAAGAGTGCTAGCTCAAGTGGTATGCTTGGTGGTTTTCAGAATAGAGATGGAAGGTTAAAATTTGGCCTACAACTTCTTTTAAAACTTAATATTCACCAACTTTCTGCATTAAATACAATTAGCAGTTGATTTTTTGCCCTTATTTAATGTGAATTTGACTCTTAATAGAACACAAAGGAGAAAGAAAATTCATGTGACTGACCCCACATTATGGGATAAAGGTTTGTTATTGTTTTTATTTGTTTGCTCCTTATCTATAACAAGTATTCTGCCTACTTACCTGTAGTTAGTTTTGCTTCCTACTTTTAATTAATAAAATATTTGAGATAAGTTTCAATCCTTTTGATAAAAAAGATAATAAAACATAAGACAATGCACACAATCACACTAGCTAATTGATGAAGGTAGACGTAAAGATCCTTAGAGAATATTGCATACAATATGATGTGAGTGATCACCTAAAAAAGTAATATAGAACTTCACATAAAATTATTTGCTAAAGTCGTGATTTGAGATTGCATGATGAATAAAGTTTTAGACCTTTTATGCAAAATCACATATATGTAGGGGTGTCAATATTTAACACGACACAAAAATTCGACCCGAACTCGACCAAAAAATTTCAGGCTTAGGTTGATCCAAAAACTCGAAATTAACTTGGTTTGACCCGAATTTCCCACTAAGTCGTCAGTCGCGTCATCCGTCGCATCATCCCGCTCAGTCGAATCGTCCGTCGCTGTCATTTAGCAGCTCAAATCGGACGACCTCAGCTCCGAAAATTTCAGGCTTAGGTTGATCCAAAAACTCGAAATTAACTTGGTTTGACCCGAATTTCCCACTAAGTCGTCAGTCGCGTCATCCGTCGCATCATCCCGCTCAGTCGAATCGTCCGTCGCTGTCATTTAGCAGCTCAAATCAGACGACCTCAGCTACGTCATTCCTGCCCACCGGTCCGGCCTCCACTTCGTTTGCCGTCGATGTCATTTGGCAGCTCGCCGCTACCTGAAGTAGCTCTCCACCGCTATCATTTGGTAGCTCGTAGCCATCTGAAGATGCTCGCCACCATCAATTGTGGAATTAGCAAACACCTCCTTCAACGACGTTCCTTCTGGCCTGGTCGGCGGTAGCAACGGCTGTCAGCTGCAACGCCTCCTTTGAGTCTTCGACGACGAACTGCAAATGCACACACAGGGCTGACTCTTGGCGGGTCAGGTCGAGTTGACCTGAACTCGAAGCGGTTCGGGCTTGGGTCCCAGAAACTAACCCATTTTTAAAAACAGGTTGGGTTCGGGTTGACCCGAAATGTGTCGGGGTTAGTTCCGGGTTCAACCCGAACGAGACTAAATCCGAAATTGACACCCCTACATATATGCATGCATGTGTTTAGATACTTAAAAAATCATCAAGATCACTTCATCTAAGCATTATTAGAAAAAAATGTGGATATTTAGAGTATGTTTGGGGCACCTTTTCACGGCTTTGTTTTTCAGATCACTACCACACTTCTATTTAGCTAGTGCTTTCTTGTTGCATTCAAAATTTCTATGCAGGAAGCTGCTTTTATAACTAGATCTACCACTGCATGGTAGATTTAAGAAAGTTGTCTTTTTTTTTTTTTAAATATTTATAATTCAATAGGACACAATGGAGAAAGGTAGAGCTAGACCTAAAAAGATTTGGTTATGAAGTATTAGAAATAACTTTTTTTATTAGATTGAAATGAGAATTCGATCCTTAATAGGACATAATGAAGAAAAAAGATTCATTTAGCCAATCCCACATAGTGATGTTGTTATATTTAGAATACAATAGTTTTTAAAAAAAGTTGTTTTACCCATATCAATTTTATAACTATCTTTATGAAAAGCCATAGCTGCCTCAACTGATTCCTTAATCTATTGCAAAATAGAAAAACATTGCTATGAACTGTAAAAAGAAAAAAATACTTCTACAATGCAAAACAATTTTCCCACAACTATGTGATTAAAATGTGGCAATTAGTAACAAGTAATTGGAAACAATCTCAGGTTCCCTTCACCTTTTCTGCAACAGAACAAAGCAAGCTAATAATAGGCATGGCAAAACGGAATTACATGCTGATTCCATATTCCACTCTTTCCTTGTAATTAACTCAATAGAATACACATATGAAGCCGAGATTTGCAAAAAAAACAGCAAACCTTACTGTGCTATGGTCAAAAGAATTTTCAAACATTGTCCCATTTTTTTTGCTCTAATTTAGAATTAAAAGATCATGGAGGATAATCTAATGTCCATCAAATAACTCTCACATAATATATAAATCGAATCTAAAAGCATCAACAATAAACAAGTAAATCAATCTCTTCATGTTGCAATGAAACAAGAGCCCTGAAACATAACCCAACGCTTTAAACTTGCTGCAAATAATTGAAGAATTTTGGAACTCCTACAAATTACTTAATCTGGTCCAAGGCAATTTCATAGCACGGAATAAGGTCAGTGCCTTTTCTATTTACACCTATTTATTAAGAAACAGAATATTATGTTTCTAATCCTCACTGCCTCACAAGTGAAACTTGTGCAGAAAGTTGTTAGGACAGAATTTGGAAAGTGCTGGCCTGAGAATTGATGGTAAAAGTTGCAGAGTAGGGTCCACAGTTTACTGAAGCAATAAGCACAATATCTACCATAAGTTGATGGAAAGATTAGATTGTTATACTTTATTCCTAAAATTCCATAATCCCTTCTCCTTATAAGGCGAGTGCTGATGGCCTTTTCTCCTTGCATTGAGAAGGGACTGAAGAGGTTCATATTCGTCTAATAAGGGGATTTCGAACACAAGATGCCTAAGTTCTAGCTTTCCAGAAGAAGGCAACTGATAACAGAAGCAAACAAGCATCAAGGAATTGGGCTTTCACATGGATGTGAAGACATAAAAGAGGGAAAAAAGGGAGAAATAGAGGTAAGAATTCATATATAATTATTGATACTATTTAGCATAAGATTTCTTCTTTCATAACTTCAACCTGACAGCCTTTCATGTGTAGATGCATCGTTTAGGTCAGTCTGACATCCTTTCATCAAGACCAACATTTCCTCCAGAAAAAACTTTACTTTTGCAAGGACGAAATGCTCTGGGAGATTCAGGACTAGTTCTCTCAACGGATGCTAAGCCCAGGTTGAAATGGACTCCAGAGCTCCATGAGCGTTTCATTGAGGCGGTGAATCAACTTGGAGGAGCAGATAGTAAGTAGAAATTTAAAATGGACCAAGCAGAATATATCAACATCGTCTACTCAATCTATATTTTCATGCAAAGGAAAAAAGAGCTCACTCAGGCTGATTGATCATGCAGAGGCTACCCCTAAAACAGTAATGAGAATAATGGGCATTCCTGGATTAACCTTGTATCACCTAAAAAGTCATCTTCAGGTAACAAAAAAAATCATATTATTCAAGAAGTTTTTGATTCCATGAAAGTGACTAGCTAAATCTTTGGGCTTACAGAAGTATAGACTAAGTAAAAACTTACAAGTTCAAACAAATTGCGGAGGTGTCATGATTGGTAAGAGGACGTTCCCGGACCTTAACCTGAACTAGATATGTTTCTTCATAATCATGTGAGAATATATTCATTAAATATCATTCACAGGCTCTGCAGCACTACTGGATCGAAGAACTGAGGCTAGTGGATCAACAGAAAGCCAACCAGAAGTGGCGTCTCAGACAAACAAGTTAGTTTTAATTCAACTCTCTCAGAAATACTTCGGGTCAAAAGTTTTACACTAAAATCGTGTTTTTTAAAAAGTTCAGATCCATGAAGATCAGTGAGTCTCTTATGATACAGGTCGAAGTGCAGAGACAGTTGAATGAACAACTTGAGGTAGGGTTCAAACCTAAAAGAACATACAGATAATGTTTATGGTTGCAATAACCAATCGATTTCTGGTGAAGCTTAAACCATCTAATGATATATGAGTTAAAGGTAAAACACTGAAAATTTTTCCACCTGAGGAATGGCGTTGAAGGAGATAATCATGTGAGCTATTGAAAAAAAAAAGCTCCCAATAATTTCTGCAAGGAAACTAAATATATTTCCCTTGAAAAGACATTGATGTTATAATTCAATTTTGTTTATATCATGAACAGTTTATTGAACTTTAAAGTTTGCACTTCCTACGGAAATCCTCTAAGATTGGTAATGATCTTTTGTAGTGACTACTATTGGGTGCCATAATAAAAGTCATGGGTTTCCTCATCCAAGGAAATCCTCTAAGAATAAGATCTGGATCTTTCATGTCTTGTTGCTGTGTTGAGATTAATTCCCTTCAGGATGCAACAATTCCTAGACACATAGTTTGGCATAGGTGATTTCTTATCATCCCATATGGTGAAAAGCTGGGTTTGATACCAAGGCATTTTTATGTGTGGTTTATATCACACTTGATAATGGTAATAGTTCCTTGGCCCTTTTTCAAGTTGAACTTATAAGGACTTAATATATTGGCATAATTTATTAAGGCAAGTAGAATCCTTCTGTACTTTAGCACATTTATGACTTAGGAATCTTTAAAAGATAACATGGATGTATTAGCAATATGCCCAACTTACCAAGAAGGCAATTAAAGTGACAAGAATTTAGAAGCACTTTTAATTTATAGATGCATGTGGTGGGCTCTAAAAATTTCCACCTGACTTTAGTATATTCAAGTAACTTCAACTTAAAATTTTAGAATAACTTAGAAGAATTAATACAAAGGATATCTCTTGAAGAAAAAGTTTCCATTGGATGAGATTGAAATAATGATGTTGGTAGAGTGGTAGGAGATTTTAAATGCATTCATGATGACTATGGATTTGGATCGACTAATAAATGTGATAAGACTCGATTAGATTTTGTTATAGCTTATGATTTTATAATTGATAATACCTTATTTAAAAAAAAGAGAGATGCAACCATCACTTATAAGAATAATATAGTAAAACTCAAATTAATTATTTTCTTATATAAAAAATAGATAGTTTATATTGCAACGATTATAAAGTTATTTCGAGTGAAAGTTTATGTATCCAACATCGTTTATTAATTTTGGATTTTAAGATGAAAGGGGCAAAATTTGAAAAACAAAATAAAATATTGTCTTAGGATTTTATTAAGGCATTTAAAAATACAAACAAAAATATTTTTAATAATGAAGATAAATTAGTGTTTTTATTAGAAAATGATATTCAACATAGTTGAATGAAATATTTCATTAAGTTTTTCAATCAAGATTGTGAGAATACGATTGACTTTAGTGACTTGAGCACTGTAAATAAAAATAAAGATCTTTTTTATCATTGTATTAATAAAACAAAAGTTAGAGAGACTTTAAAGAAAATGAAGTGAGAAAACGTTGTTAGACCTGATGATATTCAATTAGAGGTTTGAAATAGTTAAGAGACGAAGGAATTTTTTTACTTACAAAAATTTTTTAAATTATTTTAAAGACTAAGAAGATGCCAGATGAATGAAGGAATGTGTTGGTTCCTATTTTTAAAAATAAAAGTGATGCACAAGAGTGTGCGAATTATAGAGGAATTCAGTTCATGTGTTATACATTAAAACTATGGGAGTTATTATTGAGCATAGGTTACAACATGATACTAATGTTTCTCAAAATCAATTTGGATTCATACCGGGTAGGTCTGCTATGGAAGCTATATATTTTATGATATGTTTGATGGAGAAGTATAGAGAGAATAAGGAGGATATACATATGATATTTATTGATTTGGAGAAAACATATGATAAAATTTCAAGAAAAGCGTTCTGAAAAGTTCTAGAAAAAAATGTTAATAATATTTATATTCAAGTCATTAAGGATATGTATGCAGGAGTTATTACTTGTATTCAAACACAAGGTAGTTTGACAAAGTATTTTCCTATTTTGATTGGATTACATCAAGGATCAGCTTTAAGCCAATAAATTTTTGCTTTAGTCATATTACTAGATATTTATAAGAGGATGTACTGTAATAGCCCAAATTTTTAACTATCGGGGTATAGTCCTCTTTGGCCATATGACCTCATGGTTTTGTCCCGTTAATATAACTTTCTAGGAGGTCACCCATCCCAAAATTGCTCCCACATAAGCATGCTAAACATTGCAATTTCTTAATGAAATTTTAACTATTACATCAAAAGGCACCTCGATGCTCAAAAGTTTAACTTCTTTTTACTTAAGGGGTGTCACAGTCTCCCACACTTAAATAACTTACATCCTCGTCAGTATCCTTATTGTAGAATCATCCATCAGGCAGATAGGATTCAAGATGTGACACCTACAAGTTCAAGTGGCGGTTCTCACTATGTAGTACTTTGTCCCATATAGAGTTCAAGAGATGATAACTATGATGTATCACTTTGTCCTGTATGATACTTAATTTCCATCTTTCAATTGGTGTATTGCTTTGATACCATTTTGCAATAACCCAAACTCTTTGGAGACATCCGATAAAGTTGGAATGATACAAAGAAAATCAGCACAACCCCTGTGTAAGGATGACACATAAATTGAGAAATGGACCAAAATTATTTTTAATATTATGAAACTTTTTAAGTAAAAGAAGCTAAGTCTTAAATATTGACACTCCTTTTGGTGTAATAGTTAAAATTTTATAAAGAAACTCCAAGGTTAAAGGTGATCGTGTGGAAGCAATCATGGGATGGGGACCACCTGAAAATTATATTAATGGGAAACAACCATGAGGCCATCAGGCCAAAGTGGACGCTATCTCGATAGTTAAAAGTTTAAGTTGTTACAAAATAGTATTAGATCAATACGGCAAACATAATATGAGAATTAAGTTCTATATAGGACAAAGTGCTATGCTATGAAAGTCACCTTATATGAAATAAAGCGCTACATGATGGGAGCCACCACTTGAACTTGTTGGGGCCACCTTTAGAATTCTATTTGCCTGGGGGATGATTTGATTTTAGGATAAGGATACTGACAAAGATGTCAGTAAAATAATTGGGAGATATTGTGAAACCTTTAAAGTAAAAAAAGAAACTAAACTCTTAAATATCGAGACGTTTTTTGGGGTAAAGATTGAAATTTCATTAAGAAACTCTAAGATTAAGCATGCTCGTGCGGGAGTAATTCTGGGATAGGTGATCTCCTGAGAAGTTACACTAACGGGACAAAATTGTGAGGCCATCAAGTCAACGTAGACAATAACTCAATAGTTAAGAGTTTGATCGGTTACATTAAATTGTGAAACTTCGTAGGTAGAAACAATTAAATTTTTAAATATTGAGATGCCTTTTGGTTGAATGGTTGAAACTTTATTAAGAAATTCAAAAGTTAAGCATGCTCATATGAGACCACTATTAAGATGGGTAACCTCCTGAAAGTTGCACTAACGGAAGAAAACTGTGAAGCCACTAGGCCTAAGGAGACAATACATCGATAATTAAGAGTTTAGATTCTGCTACAAATAGCATTAGAGCAATACACTAGCCGGAGACGCCATGGAGGCCACCCTATTGAAGCCTATATAGGACAAAGTGCTACATGGTGGGAGCCATCACTTGAACTTGTAGGGGCCACCTCTAAAATCTTATTTGCCTCATAGATGATTATGGAATAAAGATACTGACGAGGATGCATTTGCTTAAGCTGGGGATATCGTGAAATCCTTTAAGTAAAAAGAAGTTAAACTCTTAAACATCAATGTGTATTTTGGTGTAATTGTTAAAATTTCATTAAGAAACTCCAAGGTTAAGCGCGCTTATACAGGAGCAATACTAGGACCTGGGAAGTTACACTAACAAAACAAAAACATGAGACTATTAAGCTAAAACGAACAATACCTCGATAGTTAAGAGTTTAGACTGTTACATGTACCTTAGTGTATGCTTTTTGCTAATGATATTCTTCTTGTTGATAAAATTAGAGAGGGAGTTGAAGGAAAACTTGAATTATAGAGGTTGACCTTAGGGTTTAACTAAGGTTATCATTTGAGTAGATCTAAAACCGAATATATGGAGTGTAATTTTAGTAGTAGTAGATCTGGTAGGGGATTGTGATTTTGGGCAATCAAGTCATTAAAAAGAGTACACGTTTTAAATATCCTGGGTTTATTGCTCAAAGTGATGATGAAATAGATGGGGATTTTATAAATAAAATTCAAGTTTGATGAATAAAGTGGAGGAATGCATGGCCAGTTATGTGATAGAAAATGTACACCTCAAAACTTAAGGGAATGTTCTATAATATGGTGGTGAGACATGTAATGCTTTATGACATAGAATGTTGGCCATTAAAAGAAAGCATAACATTGAGTTAAGTGCTACAGAGATGAGAATGTTCGGGTGGATGACTAACTTTACTCTAAGAGACAAAATGTGAAACAAGTATTGACGTGAAAAAGTTGGAGTAGCTTCAATGGAAAGTAAGATTAAAAGAGTCATCTTAGGTGGTTTGGTTACATAAAATGTCGGCCATCAGATGACTTGATCAAGAGAGTTGATATATTAGATTTGACCTATATTAGGAAAGGTAATGTAGACCTAAAAAAGACTTGGCTAGAAATTATTAGAAATGACATTTTTATTAGATTTAAATAAGAATGTAACTCTTAATAGAATATAATGAATAAAAAATAATTCATATAGCTGACCTCATGTAGTGCAATTAAGACTTGATGTTGATGTTATTGTTGTTGTTATAATTTCATTATCACTCTTCATTTTAAAAAAAATGATTTCTAACTTTAAGTGACCAAATTAGCCCAAAGATATTTTGCGCACTTGAATTGCAACACATACCATTTCACTCTAACCACTCATTTGAACACCTCTGTAGCTTAGTTTAAATTACGTGTAAGATCGGTCCACTGGACTGGTCCAGCTAGTCCATACGAGACCGTATTACAGACAATAGAGGTGGAGAAGTCCGCCTCCTGCATATGCTGATCAAACCTCCCCGTTCAAAAGAGTAGATTAGGAAGGTTTAAGGAGACGTTTAGGAGGGATATTTGAATGTAGGGACTTTTTAGAGATTTCCTTTTGGATTGTATGCATTAAATAGTTTCTTTTCATAGTATTAGGGCATTTTAAATTTGGCTGAAATTAGATTATTTTTCTAGTGCTTGGGCTCTAGCCAGCGGCTAGAGATTTAGGAGAGTCGGGTCTTCCTCTCCAATTGAAGATACACTTGTATCTTGTCTTTTCTTTCAAAAAACTTTCAATAAAAAAGTGTTCGTGTGTTTTATTCATGATTTTCTTGTCATTGGTTTTTTGAAAATGCTGAAATCAGATTTCAGCCAAGGCTTTTCCTAAATTCTACAAGTGTTTCTTATCAAATTGGTATCAGAACAATTTCCTGGACTGAAATAGAAGTCTTTCTCACTGAATTTTGCTGCGTTCCGTAACTATTCTTATTGTTTTTGCTGATTGGAGGTCATAAGTCGCATCAAACTTGTTGTTCTTTGCTATTGGAACCTAAATCTAGGTTCCCATAACAGGAAAAAAGGTAGAAGTCTTGGAAGAGGAGATCAGACAATTTAAAACTAAAATTTCATATCTCCACACTCAACTTTCCGATGTCAAAAGTCAAATTTCAGCCATCCATGAGATGATGGATGATAATTTTTCCAACCTGAGAAAGATGTTGAAGAATTTGCTCGAGGGCCAATCCAAGGCGTCGTTAGAGGAGAGGGAAACCTCTGGCAACTCAGGAAGAAGAGAAAACTCTAATCCCATAAGGCAAAGGGAAGATCAGGAGGTGGAGACTCGGAAGAGAGAATACCTCCCCTTTAACCATTTCCTAAGGAGGAATCAGGTAGACGGTATGGAAATAGGCATGAGTAGGTAGGACAAGAATGAAGAAGTGTTGAATTTGAGAGGAAGGGTGGATTTTGAAAGGAAAAAAAGGATATTATGACCAAAAGGGGGCTGAATTTGAAAGGAGATGGGTTTATTATGATTTAAGTGGTGCTGAATTTGAAAGGAGAAGGTGAGAAGTTTATGAAAAGTTTGGGTATAAGCATAGAAGGGATGACTGGGACACTTGGCGAGAACCACCTCCTTCGGGAATAGGAAATTATGGAGGAAATAGAGGAAACAAAGGTAATCCGATGGTGAGAAAACTGAAGATGCCAATCTTTGAGGGGGAGGATGCGCACAGGTGGATCTATAAGTTGAAAGATATTTCTCCGTCAATGGGTTGATGAAGGAGAGATTGACGGCAACGAGCCTATGTTTGGAAGGGAAGTTTTTGTCTTGGTATGAATGGAGGGACATGCGATGACCCATACGGAGTTGGAGGGAGTTCAAGGATTGTTTGCTAGAATGTTTCCGACCGGTAGGGAATGAGACTTTTATGAGCAGTTCTCCTTAACACGGGATGGTTTAGTGATAGAGTACCGAGAGTTCGAGTACCTTGCTAGCCGATTGGACTGCCTATTTGACAGAGTGCTAGTGGGGAACTTCATGAAGAGATTGACACTAAAGATCCAAGCAGCAGTTAGAGTGATAAGGCCTCGTGACTTGGGAGAGGCTATGGAGCTAGGTAAGTTGGTGGAGGATCATAGGCACCTAGAGAGAGGAATGGGAGGTAGCAGCTCAGAAGGCTTGTACATTATGTCCACCACCTTATAGCATTCAAGGAGCCAACACCGAATAATCTTCAGGGGACTTCGAAGGAAAAGACTGTAGGAGGAAGACCTGGGGACAACTTTAAGAAACTCATAGAAATAAAATTACAGAAGAAGAGGGCGAAGAGGCTCTATTTCAGACGTGATGAGGTATATGACGAGGCACAGGTGTAAGGACATAACTCTTCAGGTTCTTACTATTTGTGATGAAGAGGGAATGGAGGAGGATATCGTCTTTCCACCTTGTGGACAAGGTGGATCTTTGAGAGGGGAGTATTGTTAGACCAGTCCAATCGGTTTATACGGGACTGGCTTACGGACAACTTAGGCGGAGAAGTCTGCCTCCTGCATATGCCGATCAAGCCACCTAGTTCAAAAGAGCATATTAGGAAGGTTTTAGGAGAAGTTTAGGAAGGAAATTTGAATGTAGGGATTGTTTAGAGATTTCCTTGTATTAAATAGTTTGTTTTTCTAGGGTTAGGACATTGAATTTGGCTAAAATTAAACTGTTCTTAGGATGTTTGGGCTCTAGCCAGGGGCTAGGATTTGGGAGAGCCGAATCTTCCTCTCCAATTAAAGATCCACTTACATCTTGTCTTTTCTTTCATAAAACTTTCAATAAAAAAGTTTTTGTGTGTTTTATTCTTGCTTTTCTTGTTGTTGGTTTTCTGAAATTGGTGAAATCAGATTTCAGCCAAGGCTTTTCCTAAATTTCTACAAGTTTTTCCTATCACATCGGTGGAGCTATGAAGCCACGAAATTTTGTCAAGTTGTGTGATTGAAACAGTTCACTTGTAGTTGTGTTTGGACTGCCAACTCGTCTATAAAAATTAGCTTCCTTAACAAGCATAGCAACTCATATTAGACAACGTAATCTTTGTAAATTGTTAAATAAATAATACCTTATGTTTCACATCTCTTTAATTCTAAC